TATTTTCTATTATATTGTGCATGTTTAAATTGATAATTCATATAGTCTTCTCGATTATCTGGTTTATTTGGTTTCTCCTGTATTTTTTATTTGGTTATCTAATCATTCGGTTATTAATTATGATAAACTATATTGTTCGCTTCTACATTTAGAAATACAAATTTATTTCCTCTAAGGTTTCAGGTCTTTATAATCATCATGTTAGATATCAAATTAATTATAATAGAAGATATTAAACAACAATACAAAATACTTATAAAATAAAATTAATGCATTGTTACCAAGTTAACATTCTTAATTATAGATTTTTGAATAATAAAAACTATTGAATTCAACAACATAAAATTAAAATTTAAAATATAAACTAAACATAATATATGCAATAAAAATAGATAATAAAAAGGGAAAATATATACATATATATATAAATATATGTAAACTAAGAAGTTAATATTAAAGAGTAATTAAAGTAAAAAAATAGTAATGTATGAAAAGTCAAAATATATTTAGAAGATTAAAAATTTATCCTAACATTTTAATGAATAGTATATTTGACATTTCAAATTTTACTAAAAATATTAGAGCACCATTAAATTTTCTTAAAGTGTCACGTATTCAAAAATTGTACTCTTTATCAATATTCTTAATGTACTCTTCAATCATCTTCAACCACCATAGCAAATAGTATTTATGACATTTCAAAATTTACTAAGAGCGTCGGACCATCATTATATTTTCTTACAATATCAAGTGTCACGTGTACGTTTTTATTAATATTCACAACGTATTATTACAAGGTATTAATGCCTACCATCTTCAACTACCACCACGATGGTTTAATAATTAAATTTTTATAATCTCATTTGAAAGTCACGGAGTTCAGATTTTATTAAAACGTAAAGTTGGTCACTTTATGAGTATATGATGACCTACACATAATATTTAAATTAATAATTTATGACTTAATTCATTATTATATTGATGGAATTGTATTGATTAATTTAGATTTAGTTTTAATAAAATGACAGGTGATTATATTTCTATAATTGAAATAACTACAACATACCATTATTTAATAACGATGGTGAGTTTTGTATTTTGTATATTTTTCTTAAAAATTAAAATGCGATGTTATATATATATATATATATATATATTAATTTGAAAATACAATAATTATAAGATGTTCTACAACAACACAAGTGAATTGACTTACATTATTTGATGGTGGTACAATTAAATTTCATGTTATATTATAAGATAAAATGTATGTTTTGTATTTGTTTTTATTAAAAAAATTATAATATTATAAATTTTATTATGATTGATTGTATTATAATTAATATATAAGTGTTATTTAATTAATAAAATATATAAATTTTTATTTAAAAAAATTTAAATATTATGAGATAACATATTTATAAGTTTTGATAATTTATTTATTTATTTATATTTCTGAAACATCTTATAATTAGTCTTTGGTTAGTTCTTCACCATCTATACCTGCAATCCTTTTGCACCTTCTGTGGCACTCTGTAAACTTCAATTTTTTTTTTTGTTTTAGTTGAAAAAATATATTTTTACGAAGAAGATTACAAGGACAACCCTCTAAAATCATCTGTATGTATAACGCATATAACAGTAAAGCCCTGTGGCTATATATACGTGAGATTGAATACACATGGCCAATAACCAAAATCAAAGAACATTCTTCACACAAAATAGACAGCAATAATGGCGGATCCCAATAATGGCTCAAACCTTCACGTAGCAATGTTTCCATGGCTTGCAATGGGCCACATGACTCCCTACCTCCATCTCGCTAACAAGCTAGCCGAGAAAGGCCACAAGGTCACTTATCTTCTACCCAAGAAAGCTCAACAGCAACTGCAACATCTGAATCTCCATCCTCATCTCATCACCTTCCATCTTGTAACCATTCCCCACGTCGATGGACTCCCGGTTGGCACCGAGACAGCCTCTGAAATACCCATTTTCTTGAACCATTTGCTCGCCATAGCCATGGATCTTGCGCGTGACCAAGTCCAAGAATTCATCGTTCGGGCAAAACCCAACTTGGTTTTGTACGACAATGCTCATTGGATCCCAGAAATAACAAAGCCGCTCGGCATCAAAACTATATGTTACAACGTGGTTTGCGCCGCGGCAATCGCCATCGCCATAGTCCCGGCTCGAAATGTTCGTAACGACAAACCCATTACAGAGGAAGAAATTGCAGAGCCTCCCGCTGGGTACCCATCATCCAAAGTGGTGCTTAAAGGCCAAGATGCTCGTAATTTGATGTTTATATCGCTGCCTTTCGGAGACGGGATCTCGTTCTACGAGCGGGTAACAATTGCATTGAAGAATTCCGATGCGATTGCGATAAGAACATGCAGCGAAATAGAAGGAAAATTCTGTGATTACTTAGGGAGTCAGTATCAAAAACCTGTTTTCTTAACCGGTCCGGTTTTACCTGAACCGGAGAAAACAGTGGCATTAGATGAGAAATGGGTTAAATGGCTAGGTGGGTTTGAACCAAATTCAGTCGTTTTTTGCGCATTCGGTAGCCAACTCATTCTTGAAAAAGACCAATTTCAAGAACTTTTGCTTGGGTTTGAACTCACTGGTTTACCATTTCTGGTAGCTCTAAAACCACCGGCTGGGGCATCAACCATTGAAGAAGCTTTTCCGGAAGGGTTCGAGCAGAGAGTTAGAGGAAGAGGAGTTGTTTGGGGTTCATGGGTTCAGCAGCCATTGATTTTGGTTCACCCATCTGTGGGTTGTTTTGTGAATCATTGTGGATTTGGGTCGATGTGGGAGTCATTGATTAGCGACTGTCAGATAGTTTTGGTGCCTCACCTGGGTGACCAGATGTTGAACACGAAGCTTTTGGCGGATGAATTGAATGTTGCTGTAGAGGTGAAAAAAGAGGACAATGGATGGGTGTCAAAGGAGAATCTTTGCAATGCCATTAAATGTGTGATGAATAAAGATAGCGAAGAGGGTGATTTGGTGAGGAAGAATCATGCTAAGTGGAAGGAAACACTGGGAAGCTCAGGTTTAATGAGTGGTTATATTGATAAGTTTGTTCAGAATATTCATGATCTTGTCAAATGATGACACATATATATATGTATATGTATGTATGCCAACTTTCATTGTTAATTAGCTTCTTTCAATGTGAGAAATAAACTGTGAAAGCTTTAGATCCTTACTTATTCTACTTATTTGCGTCTGTTTGTCGTGCGTTTTACGGTCTCTTTCTCTTTCTCTCTTTACTGGTGTGTGTTTATATATATATATATTTACACGCACCCATGCTGTTGTATTTCATTACGAGCTCTCTGTTGTATTTCATTGTCATGGAGTTCGATCCCCTTCGCTGTAACAATTAGCATATTCTTCTTTTTCGTTGGGCTGCTACTTAGCAAGGCTTTAGCATTCATTTCTCCCATGAATTTTGGTAGACCATCTGCTTCTTCCATTTCCTTTTAAATCCACTGCTTTCTTATCTTCGTAACTTCTCCCGTTTCTTTAGACAACTCATCTGATAGGACATAGTTGGAGCTTCACTATTTTGATCATCATCCATCAAATCAAAGTTTTTTTCTTCCTGGTAATAAAAGTATTCTTTGCCTTCTCCAAACTTTGCAAAACAAAGTTAATTCCTTCGCGTATATCTAAGTTGCAAAATGATTAATATAATGAGAGTAAAATATGAGAACATATAACATAGTAATGTATTGATGTATATAAGAAAATGTTCAAGAGGGGAATTTCTGTGTTGAATTATTTAATAATTGAGAATACTGTGGAAATCTAAATATTTTATAGAAAACTGGGAATAAGAATTTAAAAGTTGATATTCATTCGCTTGGAAAACTGATAGACGTACTGGGGGCCATGAACATGCAGGAAGCTAAAAGCAGATTTTGCAAGATGATAAGCTCAGCAGAGTTAGGATTAAAGAAATGACGAGGATTGATGAAGTGTTTGCTCAATGTTAATTTCGTCAAGTTGCATGGCGTAGTTGTTGTGAACTGATTGTTGTTCTCGCTCTCTCCTGGGTCAACTATAGTTGTTATACACAATGATTGATAGGTGTATTATTAGGAAAGGACCAAGAGTCAGTTCATCCCGTCTTGGTTTCAGTATTCCAGTCATTTGCAGAGAGCTTCGAGTGACGTCCCTGCAACTGGCTGATGAAAATGGGTCAAACACATGAGCCTCAGAATTCAAGCAACAGAGGAGACAGATCCCAGCTCGCTGATCAGATTCATATGGAAGCATTGCAAAATGCAAAGAAACACGATCTCGCTTGTATGCATTTTGATCGCCACAGTTTCTTATACTGCCGGAATGAATCCTCCCGGCGGTGTCGTTACCGATGGACCTCTTAAAGGTCAATCAACACTTAGCAAAACCACAGCTTTCAAGATCTTTCAGATAAGTAACACCCTTGCTTTGTTCTTGTCCTTGTGCATTGTCATTCTTCTTCTAACTCTAATTCCTAACAATTATGAAAGTTTGAAGTGGCTCCTAAAGATTGTTCATAAGTTCATGTGGGGGGCTGTATTAGCAATGGCTACGGCTTACATTACTTCAACATGGCTCATCTTACCCCATGGTAATGGACAAAACTGGGTGTTCTATGTTCAACTAGCTATTGTAGTTTTCGCCACTGTTGGAACTTTGTTTGTCTTTTGTATGTATAATCCCATTAAACAATGTTGTAATTGCTTCAACCAAGATTCCTCTCCTTCTCATCCTCTTGGAGAAGTCAACCGACCCTTCAAAGCTTCTCCTTCTCATCCCCTTGGAGAAACCAATCAACAGTTTAGATCTTCTCCTTCTCATTCTCCTAGAGGAGTCAACCGACCCGTTAAGTCTTCTCCTTCTTCTTCCTTTAGAGAGATCAGTCGGCAGTTAAAATCGTCTTCTTCTCATTCCCTTGTAGAAATCAATCAACCCTTTAAATTTTCCCCCTCTCGTTTGCATGGAGAAATCTCTCCATCCTTTAAATCTTCTCATTCTCATTCCGCCATAGAGATCAATTGACGGTTAAAATCTTCTCCTTCTCATTCCCTCGGAGAAATAACTCTATCCTTTAAATCTTCTCCTTCTCATTCCCATATAAAAATTAGACAACAACATTTTGAATCTCATCGGTCTCTCAATGAAAAAAGCTCACAATTCCGTAAAACCACACATCAATATTCAAAAAACAAGTACAAAAAAAAAGACATCAGGTGAAGACAAAATGTTGTATCAAAATGAATCAGACACAGACATGTCGATCAATTTTGACAAAGACTACAATGATATGTCATATCAGAATTTTAGACAAACTATGTCATCTCCAGAAAGAGAAAGGAGTCGCAGGAAAGAAAGGTCTGGAATAATTACAAAGATATATTCAAAATCCACGTCCCCGCAAAAGGAAGGGTTCATCTCATCCTAAATTTACTAAACTGTGATGAAGAATCTTTCACTTCAGATGCTAAATTCGCTTATTTTCACCTTATCATTACTTCATGTTAAATAAGTTCATCATATCTTATGAATTAATGAACTTAGCGGTGTGTTTTATTGTCTCTTAACTTTATATTTTGAACATATTAATTCTTTCTTCTTTTTAATATTTTGATTTATCAAATATTTTACTTTTACTTAACATAATGTTTAAGATATGAGAGTTTAATTTGCTTATAATTTTTATTTAAATCCAAATAATTATAATTATTTAATTTAAGAATGTTTTTTTTAATAAAAAATTTAACTCTCAAATCAAGTTGCCTTTCTGATTGACTTTTAGTTTAATAATAATATAATATGAATAAAGCAAAATATAACCTACAATTAATTTGTAACTCATTAGCGTTGCAATAATCAACTTATGCACTGACTGATTGACGAATTTTGACTTTTTATTATAGCTTAATCTTTATCTGTGTGCTCATAGGTCACGTGATCTCCAATAAGAACAATGTCATTGGAGTTTTTTGGTTCACGATATGTTTGAAGAACTCTTAGTTTTTTTACTTCTCGTTATAACTTGATATTTATCTGCATGCTTATGTGTTAAGTGATATCCAATAATTGATCACAAACGATGTCATAGGAGTTTCTTAGTAGAGGATGTGCTTGAGGAGCTCTTAGTTTTTCGGCTTCTCGTTATACCTTGGTCTTCATCTACATGTTCATGTGTTAAGTGATTTCTAACAATTTATCACAAATGATGTCATATGAGTTTTTAAGTTCAGGATGTACTTGAGGAACTCTTAATTTTTTGACTTCTCATTATACCTTGGTCTTCATCTGCATGCTCATGTGTCAAGTGATCTCCAATAACTTATCACGAACAATGCCACGAAAGTTTCTTGGCTCAAGATGTGCTTTGGAGAGCTCTTAGTTTTTTAGCCTTTTGCCTCTCTTTGCTACTAAAAAAAAATTCATGATTAATTAAGTTTTTAACCAAGTATCATAATTAGTTTTGATATAAAAATTCCATTAAAAAAAGTATAACGCAGAATAAAAAAATCTCCAGGGTCAACTATAATTGTTAACAATTAGGGTTTTTGTTTTGTCAATTTCTCATTCATCTCCTTGGTCAACTATGATTGTCATACAATTATAATTATCACTCATCTTAGCCATTTGCAGAGAGCTTTGAGATACGTCCCTGCAGCTGCTTGATGAAAATGAGTCAAACCTAGGAGCTCCACAATTCAAGCAACAGGGAAGACAAATCCCAACATTGCAGAATGCAAGAAATACAATCTCGCTTGTATGTATTTTGATTGCCACAGTTTCTTATTCTGCCGAATAAATCCTTCTGACGGTGTCTTTATCGATGGACCTCTTACACTCTGTTTGGATCGTAATAAATGATAGAATTTTAATGTATGATATTCTACGGGTGTAAGAAAATCATGTTTGTTCCAACTTTCAATATTAACAAATGATATCTGACCGACAAATTTGAAATAAATTTTAAAATTACCGAATCAGTGGTGGTATTTGACTGACATATTACTTTTTTTTTTCCTTTATACTCTCATATAATATACTTAATTCTATTTTTATCATCACAATTTATTATTTATTTTATTAAATATAAAAATTTATTTTGTAATAATTATTTATTTAAATACAAATGTATATTGGTAAAAAATTTAAATTTTTTTATTATATATTTCTTATATACACAATTAACATAATAGTTATGGGTAAATTAGTAACTTGACTGAAAATACAACTATACTATCCTATCATTCAAATAAAAATATATTATTAACATACATTAATATACAATCATCCAAATATAAAAAAAATTTATCATTCCCATCTTATGTCATTGTTATCCAATTACCATACATTAATTAACCATCACTAAAATTTATTCAAACAGGATGTTAAAGACTGATCAACAGTTAACAAAACCACAGCTTTCAAGATCTTTCAGATTAAGTAACACTCTTGCTTTGTTCTTTCCCTTGTGCATTGTCACTCTTCTTTTAACTCTAATTCCTGGAAATTATGATAGTTTGAAGTTGCTCCTAAAGATTGTTCATAAGTTCATGTGGTGCGCTGTGTTAGCTATGGCTACGGCTTACCTTGCTGCAACATGACTTATCTTACCACACGATAATGGACAAAACTGGGTGTTTTATATTCAACCAGCTATCGTACTTTTTGTAATTGTTGGAACTTTATCATCCCATTAAACAATGGTGTAATTGCTTCCGGTAAGAGCTCTCTCAACCTTCTCATGCCCTTTGAGATCTTTCTCCTTCTCATCCCCGTGGAGAAACCAATCAACAGTTTGAATCTTCTGTTGCTTCTGTTTCCTTGGGAGAAGTCAAGTCCCTTAAAGAAATCATTCCATCCCCTAAACCTTCTCCTCTTTATTCCTCTGCAAAAATTAGGGCACAATTTTCTGAATTTCGTCAGTCTCTTAATAAAAAAGCTCACAACTCTCTGAAAATATCCATGTAATATTTTAACATGAAAATTTGCTGCTTTCAAAAACTAATTCGGTAGCTTTTGTAGAGAAAAAAAGTAAGAGAGAGAGAGAGAGAGAGAGGGCACAGAAACAGAGCATAACCCTGCAAAGTTCTCTGTTTCTGTGCTTCGACAAAATTGTGAGAAGATGATACAAGAAAAAGGGCTGCATTTTCTTTCATGTTTGCATGGTTTAAATAAACTAATTTACAATCACTTGAAATTGAGTCGACCCCTTCGTTGC